ATGCAGAGACGTAATTCAATGTTCAGTCCACCATCGCCATCATCTATCATACTGAAGTACTTTTTATAGATTTATGCAGACAGGAAGGTGACTAACTTTACTTTCTGCTCCATTATTCATGTGTTGTCCTGAGGGGACCTTTGTTGATATTACAGTGTGCCTCCTGAGCAACCTTTGTTCAGAGTAGAAAAACTAAGTGTTTTTATCCTGGACAAACAATGAATAATGCACAGTATTTGAGAACTATGCTAAGGGCACATACTTACTGTAAAACACTAAACATTGAAAATGCTGAATAAAATGGGTTTCTGCAAGAGTTTTAAAATCCCTGCTTTAAAATACATCATCCTCTGGACATAGTTTAGTATCACTGCAACCAGTCCTGTGTGATCCATTTTATCTTTTCTTTTGAGTAGGGCGATAATATAAAACATTACCATTTAAAAGATCTAGCTCTGAGTTAGAGTATCTCCTGTCAGGATTTCCAAGGCTGAAGCGTTTGTGGATTAGTCATTCACTGATAAACGGTACAGGGGAATGTTCTCTGCTGCCATCAGGCTCATAATAACCTTAAAAAACTTCCCTGCATTGCAGACAATTGAACTGTACTTGGGATTTTCACTATTCGCCTTCAGTTCCTGCTCCTGTGTTTCATTTGTCATTGATCACATACTAGCTGTGAAGGACAAGAAATTATTTCATTCATCACTGCGTTCTGTCAAAAAATTATGTTGTAAAACCAACTGTTAGGTTTTTTCCTATTTGCTTGTTAAACAGATCCCAGAGTAAAAATGTTTAATGCAGTACAAAGGCAACTCTACTTTTAGTTCTTCATGGTGGGCGATTATATGAGCAATATTTGTTCAGGCACAGCTGTTTGTTCTGATGTTATTCTTTTTTTTTTTTTAAATTAAAAATTAGGCAAATAGCCATGGAAATGTTTCTAAAGAATTACAGTCAAAAGAGGGGAAAAGAAATTCCACAAATCTTTTTACACCCCCTCAGCCCCAATATTTTATATGCTAAGAAACTGCGTAAGGTCATATAAGGGGACATTCCTGAGGACTGGAAGAAAGAAAATGTCACTCCTATATTCAAGAAGGTCAAGAAAGAGGATCCAGGGAACCACAGATCAGTCAGCTTCACCTTTGATCCCTGGGGAGGTGATGGAGCAGATAATCCTGGAAACCACTTCCAAACATATATGAAGGGCAAATAGATGACTGGAAGCAGTCAGCATGTCTGTATGAAAGGGAAATCATACTTGACCAACCTGATAGCCTTCTACAATGAGATGAGTGCCTTGGTGGTTAAAGGGAGAGCAGTAGATGCTGTTTATCTCAACTTTAGTATGTCTTTTGGCACTGTCTCCCATAAGGTCCTATAGACAAACTGATGAAATATGAACTAGATAAATGGACAGTAAGGTGGATTGAAAACTGAGCTGCCAGTCCGAGAGGCACACAGTCCAGCTGGAGGCCAGTCACTAGTGAAGTACTCCAGGGGTTGATACTGGGGCCAACACCGTTTAACATCTTCATTAATGACCTGGACAATGGGACAGAGTTTGCAGAGGATACAGAACAGGGAGGAGGGGCTGATGCACCAGCTGGTTGTGCTGCCATTTAGAGGGACCTCGACAGGCTGGAGAAATGGGCTGACAGGGATTTCACAAGGTTCAACAAAGGGAAAAGCCAAGCCCTGGCCCTGGGGAGGAATCACCTCGTGCACCAGTACACACTGGGGACCCACCAGCTGGAAGGCAGCTCTGAAGAGAAGCACTTAAGGGTGCTGGTGGGGAACAAGTGGATCATGAGCCAGCAATGTGCCTTTGCAGTTAAAAAAGACCAAAACCTCCTGGGCTGCATTAGGAAGAGTGTTTCCAGCAGGTCAAGGAGGTGATCATTTCTCTCTGCTCAGCCCTGGTGAGACACATCTGGAGTGCTGTGTCCATGTCCGGGCTCCCCAGCACAGGAGAGACATGTACATACTGAACTGCATCCAAGGAAGATGTCCATGAAGATGATTCAGGGACTGGAGCATCTGATGTACAAGGAGAGGCTGAGAGAGCTGGGACTGTTCAGCTTGGAGAAGAGAAGTCTCAAGGAGGATCTTACCAGCCTGTGCAAATACCTGATGGCGGGGAGTAAAGAAGACAGAGCCAGACTGTTCTCTGTGGTGCCTGACAACAGGACAGGAGACCATGGGTGCAAATTTAAATACTGGAAATTCTGTTTAAATCTAAGAAAAAAAAATCTTAACTGTACAGTGATTAAACACTGGAAGAGGTAACCCAGAGATGTGGAGTCTGTATCCTTGGGAGATATTCAAAACCAAGATGGACATGATCCTGGAAGACCTGCTGTAGCTGATCCAGCTTTGAGCTTGGATGTTGGATTAGATGAACTCCAGAGGTGCCTTCTGACCTCAATTTTTCTGTGGTCCTGTGATTCTGTAATCTCTGATTCTGTGTATAATTCCTCCTTTTCTGCTTTTTAACATTTTGTCTTTCATTTTTTACATCTTGTGAGAAGAGGGCAGGGCCATCAAGGTTTACAACTTATAGAAAAAAGAGTAGAAGTGTTGCAAAAAGCAAATAGCTTTTAAGTATTAACAATGAGAATCAGACTTCTGAGACATTTTAGTCAGAAAAAGCTTTCTTCTTTCATATTCATAGGCAATTCAGTTACTGCAAGTGGAAACCCAGAAAACAAGAATTTGAATTAATTTGTTTATTTTAATAAATGGCATACTATTAAATTATTATTTAATAATAATCTGTTTGAACAGATTACCAATGGATGTGGAAAAGTATCCTTCTGTCTCTTTAAATCAAATTTGGGTGGAGAGCAAAGCTATTTAAAGATCAAGTTCTACTTTATCCTGAAGTTCAAGAGAAAGAACCAGTTTAATTGAAGATTTTGTCAAGGAGAGGAAAATATGACAAGTAGTGTCTACATTATCCTAGGGAAGCGCCCAGAGAGGTGTATTCAAGGCCAATTTCCCTTCCATCACCACTGTTTAGCCAGTGTAATGCAAGTGGGTTGCTACAGAGGTGCAGCAGTTGGTATGTCAGGAGGGGGAGTGCAAAGGAGGAAATTCCCTCTCGAGGGCTCTCCAGGGCAACCACATGAAATCTGGATGATGGGTAGCTGGCAGCACCTCTGCAGAGGCAACACGTATTTTAGGTGGCAGAGCAGCTACGTTGGGGTGCTGCCCTCTGGCTTCTGCCCCAGCGTGCGACCACCCCTTCTGTGGTACCAACCGTGGGGCTGCTTTGCTCCTTCCCTGGCATCCCCATCCATCGTAATAGCCTGGGTGTATCCAAAGTACTGCTCGCTCTGGGGAGAGGTGCTTCCTATAGCACCTACAGCAGCCAGAATCTCATTCACCTCCACAAGTATGAGCAGAGAAACCACCAATACAAACCAGCAAGCTGCTATAGCTCCTCTGTCTGTGGACTTCTGCTCTGCCATCACCAGGCACATGCTGGACCCAGGAGGCTCCAGGGACTGTTCAGGCCAGGCAGGACAGTGTCTATCAAATTAAGGCACCAAGTGGGTTGGTCAGTACTAGAAAGTAGGTCAGCTGGGTCACTAACCGAGAGGATCTTCTGATACCTAAATGGAAATTTGGATTTCTTCAGACAGAATCCCATGCTGAAGTGTGTGCTATGTGAATACTTGGGTCAAAACCTCACAGTTGGGCTCATTGCCACAGTACAATGACCTTATTATTGGGCTTGACTTCCTGCCTTTGTGGTGATTCAAATATATCCATCGTATTTCACAGTCTGGGTGGGCCTGAAGCACATATTCAGTCTCGTCATCTCAGCTGAGAAATGTTAACTCTTCAGGCTCCTTTTTATTTTCAGTGATATGCCCATACACTTGGGGTTTTTCCTCCTTTTCTGGATCTTCCTTATTGCTCCAAACTCCTTTTGTTTGATAACACTTCAGAATGATCTATGAACTGGAGCTTCTAAAATATTTTCTGGAGCTTTCGTTAGTAAATCTTAAAAAAAAAAGAAGTGAAGGGTGCTGAAAGTTTTGCTTTACTCTTTTTCTAAGAGCTTGATTCTTCTATTTATAACAGGTAGGCAGCTCATGTGCAATAAAGTCGAAATATAGCTAAGGTGGTTATGAAAACATAACTAATAACGGGGAATTGTTCTTCCTTGCAAGTGCCTCAGTCCCATAAATGCTCCCCCAAGCATGTGCTTACCCATGCTGCCCGGATGCCTATGCTTCATAAAACCTGATGGAATGAAAACTGAATTGACTGCTTTCAAGGGTCATTCTAAGAGCTTCATTATTTAATTTTTATTTCAGTCTGAGCTCTATTGCTTACACAGGAAGTTTCACTTGACTTTTAGTACCTTAAAAATATTGTAATAACACTGCTCGGGTCTTGCAGTTCTGAGTAGTGACTTTATGTGCACAAAGAGACATTCACCACTCTGCAGAGCTCACATATCACTTAAATCTTACAAGATTAATATAGATTTACACATTGCATAGAATGTTCTGGCCTTCTCCCACTAAGGACTTCCAACCCTGGGAGAAACACCTCCCCACATGGATATATCCTGAAATTGGTAGTACGGACCAAATGAGACAAAAGTCCTTTCCCTTAATCTATATGTATTACACGAGGACTATAGCTAGCAAGCACAGATGCACTGACTCTCTCGGAAAGGGGCACAAATAGTAGAAAAGTATTGCCATTTTTAGCCCCAGTGCACGGTCTGCCTGTGTTTCAATCTGCAATACAAATCTCCCCTGATGAATGCAACAGTTATGATTTTATTTTCCGGGAAGATGAATACAGAGATGGTAATGGCCAAAAAGAGTCTACATATGAATCTCAAAGAGATTAATGCAGCCGTAAGGCAGTTAGGTCCTGTTTCTGTTATCTTGCTGAGAAACAACCACTTGTAGATTGGTAAATAAAAGTTAGTACTGTCCTCAGGAGTTATTTTTTAAAAATCCAAGCATAAATTAAAAGCTATGGGTGAGGGGATTGTCTGTCAGCATGACTGAAGCGGCCAAAGTTTTTTCGTAATTTTTGAGAATTGCCCTCCTTCAATGACTGTCCAGTGACTGCTTCAACTTCTCCTTAAAGAAACTAGTTGTGAGAGTAGAGAGAATGGGGTTCAAGGCACTGTGTATTGGCAGAATTAATATCACTATCCAGGAAGGGACAGTGTCTAGGAAAAAAGGTAAGATACTTCATATGCTCTGTTGTAGGAATGCTAAAGAAGCAAACGTCTTTATGTCATTTTTACTTTATGTCTTTTATTTTAATTCATGTCACTTTATATATTTTTTGTGGAATGCTATCATAGTATTATTTTTACAAGAAAGGGGTTTGAATTCAACATTGCTCATTGTGGTTTTCACTGAGTTCACCAAGGGTTTTCATGAGAAGGGGGAAAAAAAGAGCTTTTCACCAGAAAATGTCTTTCTCTCTATCTACTGGTATTTAATAAAAGCACTAAACATGAGCTGAAGTCCAGCTGTCTTTGGGATAGTAGCTAATATAAATCCAAATCCCATACCTATTTCTTACATGGCAATTTTCATCAGTAGGTTTCAAAATGCCTTACAAAAGCTATCATTATTTTTTTTACAGAGGGGAAACTGGAGTACAGAGGGGTGAAATGACTTGCTCAGAGGACCATGAGCTGAGCTGTGTGGAGCCTCACCACCGTGTATCCCATGCCAGCCACAGTCATACATCTTCTGAACACCTTCATGATGGCCGTAGGTTTTTTTTTGACAACCTACATGTAATCACTTTTCTCTTACTTACGTGAATGGAATTCAATGCTCCCAATGAGGCTAAAAAGGTTTTATGATAAAATCATTACAAATTTACTACATTTCTTTAATGCCTTTTATATTATGGAGAATTATTTACCAAATTTTCTACAAACATGAGGCAACGATTTTCTGGAATGACAATGGGAGAGCAGGATGCCTTTATTACCGTTTTATCTGTTAGCAGCTGCAAGGTTAGCAGGGCTGCATATAACCAGTGCAGTGATGGAGAGCTGTGAGATTGTACATTACAGCTCCTCTGCGGGCTGGTAGGGGAGAGTGTGTGCTGCCCTGAGGGAGCAGGGAGGGCCCGTAGCCTCCTCAGAACCCCCTGGAAATCATTGCCTGCACTTCGAAATGTGGTGTCTGGGTTGCTTAAAGACCCTCCTGTTATAGTTTTGTTTCCCCGATGATCAAACTGATGGACTTATTCATACATATTGCCATGGGATTTTGCAGCTATAGTGAGGATAGCCTCTTCACTGGATAGCTTATTCTGGTTCCCACCTACATACATGGACTGAATATGTTATGTATGTACTTTAAATCTCAGTTTCTGAACATAGAAAAAGTCAGATATTTTGGGCAATACTTACTCTTCACCCATGGTTAGCTAGAATTCCTTTGGCAGAATTGGTTTGGTTTAAAATGAATCTTTAACAAAACAAACTGCTCTCTTACGCAGCATTACCTGGAATTTCCATCTGGAATAAGGAGAGGATTTCAATGACAAAGACAGGAATCCAGCAGATGGCATCAGTGAATATTATTTAAAAAAAAATCAGTTGGCAACAGCAACATCCCTGCTAATATGACTCTTTACTTCTGATGTCTGAGGGGCAGTTTTCTGAACAGAACAAAACATGCTGACTATGAAAACACTATGATGATGGAGGCTAGCAGGTTCACACCTGTGAGGAAACAGGATTCAAAACAAATGGCATTGAAATGGTCTTTCCTCTCTTCCCTTTCTCCCGACCACTTCTCTGTTTCATTCTCTTCCATTATTTTGTTATAATTTTTACATTAATGTATCTGTAGTGCATTGATACCGATTTTACGTTTGAAACAGCTCCTCAGTATTGTCTAGTGTCACACAGCCTGCTCACATACTGCGTGTTCCCATCTGTTACACAGTGAGATGTGAATAAGTTGTAAGAAGTTACTATAGAAACACAGTTAATGCACAGTATGGGTGGGCTCGTGATTCCACAGAGATCTGGTCTCCTGACTAGAAATGCTGCAGTAAATCTGAAACAGAAACCACCTGCAGGACTCTCATGTAGTACAGAAAGAACAACATATTCCCCAGCAAAGTGACAAACTGATCTGAGGTGTGTGTTCATTTCAGACTGGCTTCCTCGATTCTGTATAAATATCCATCCCAAATAACTGATGGAAGAACATGTGCAGAGCAAGCTGCGCAGCTTGGATTTTAATTGCACTGCACTGTGTTGCAGAGCAAGGCTTTTAACAGTTCATCAGATGGCAACTCCACGGACTGGAGTACTCCAATAAATAGCTGAGAGCTGTTGAAGGAGCCATTTATGCCAAGATCCCAGCACCTGAAAGCAAGCTCTTGCTCAGAAATATGGATTTAAACCAACTGAAAGAATTGGAAATTGTAATAATAATAATAATTACATAATAATTTTATCGATGGGAAATCACTACATGAATCTGATTTGACATGTGTATTACCTTTTTTGCTTTCTATTCAGTATAATTCTAAAAATCTAGTTTTATCTTTTGGTATGTAGCTTTTTCATCTTTTTGATATCAAGAGTTAAAATGAGGAATAACTGTTAAATGTATATCTACGGGCAAAATAACCCCTATGGCTCTGCAAATGCAGGTCAGGGAGAAGATCTTTTAGTAGCAGTTTGAATAATTTGCAGTCTTTGCTGTGAGTGAGTGCTCTGAGGCTGAGCATGAGCAGCTCATGCGTATTTCAGGCTGAAGTTTCTAGGTTTTATCCTGTTCATTTCCAGTTTATTTTATATGTATATGTTTAATCACTATTCTCTGCCAGTATAATGTACATAAAGCTACACTTCTAACGCGTCATCCCATATTATTTATATTATCACTGTTTTCTGCAGTCCCATGAGGGCTATACTGAGTAGTAGTTGAAGGTTGCTGATTTTACTCAGTTATAAAAATGGAAAGGTTTCAAACCATTAGGTTGTACACACAGTATTGCTAAGTAATTTCATTACCTCATTGTTTTTCAAATTACTATTTCCTTCTATGTCTTCTCCTCTTCCTTGTTACACTCACTTGTGTTTTGTTCAAATTAGATGCTAAACTTTTCAGGTGACACAGACCCTTTTACGTGTGTAGGCAGCACACAGCACATGAGGCTCTGCTCCTTTTGTGGGCCTTTGGGAAGTATTACAAAATGAACATTAATAGTGTAGTGAAAAGTGAATCTATCAGTGAGTGTTGTGTAGACTGACTGCCAGTTTTTCTAGTAAAATATTTTTAATCAGTAAGTATAGCATAGTAGAAATTAAACTTACCAAGAAAAATACCAAAGGAATAGCAAGCAAATACCAAGGGAATACCTGTTGCCTCCAGTTTTGTCTCTTTGATCAGAATTCAATGGGAAACAAACTCCATTTTTCCATAGTAATTTCCAAAAACGTCCTCATCCTAGAATGGAATTATTGCTATGACAAACCCAGCAATCCATATGGATGTAAGAATCACTACTGTCTGCTGGTTTCGAGGGTGGATATCTGAAGGGAAAGACAAATCACTAAATACTTTTCCAAGGTCAGATATGTCAACAACATGCTCTGTAGACGGCATGTCAATGAACCCCATGATATTGCATGGTAAACTTTCCATCCTTAACACAGTGTATTGTTTATACTGTCCATGGTATTTAACATAAGAAACTCCAGTGAAGAACAAGTACACCCCCACAAGACAATCAGCACCTATATAAGAAACAGATTTCACAATTTGCTGAAAAACATCAATAAAATCCTTTAGATATTGTATACTTCTACATTTAACCAAACTCTAGCTGGCATTCAAAAACAATTTAACCCTGTGATTGTGGCATCAGAATTCATGTGCTGTGGGGCTATGACCCCCTGGTCACAAACGGGAGAGTGGAAGCTGGTGTCAGGATATGAGAGTGGAAGTGTTGCCAAACAGGGCTCCCATGAGCATGCAATGATCTGTGGTCAAGCTCCCTGGCTGTGGCCAGGATGGTGGCTTTTGCAGACAACAGAATACTATAGAATCATAGAATCATAGGTTAGAAATATTTAGGTTGGAAAAGACCTTTAAGATCATAGAGTCCAACTGTAAACCTACAGCAGTTGGACTGCCAAGTCCACCACTAAACCATGTCCCTAAGTGCCACATCTACATGTCTTTTAAATACCTCCAGGGATGGTGACTCAGCCACTTCCCTGGGCAGCCTCTTCCAGTGCTTGACAACCCTTTCAGTGAAGACTGAATCACTACAATGGCTGTATTTGGCACACAGGCAGCCAGCCCTGGAGAGAGGCTACAGTAGGGTCTGGGCCCTGCTCATGGTATGGATACTGCGGTGGCAAAGTTTCAGCCAGGAGCAAGCTGGAAGCATCTCAGGCAGAGTGTGGAAGACCTGGCAGGTCTATGGCACGATATAATATATGCATGGCACTATATAGTATATGCATGACACTATATAATAAATAAACAGGAGATCTCCGATATCTTGCCTGGAATTCACTTCTAATTTTACATATCCACAATATGTATCTACTAACAAGGTGAATTAATTCTACCTGACTTCAGCCATTTGCAAAGCTGAAGATCTGAACCAGTTGGGCCTTGGCTGTCTTTACAGTCAATGAAGTCAACAGATACTTTTGGGACATGATTCATTAGACCTACTTTGGATGTCTTTTTTAGATTTAGGTAAATTGCACAATTCATTGACTATAGAGTGCAAAGTGACTAGTTCATAGACAGCTGCACTGTAAGCATCTGAAGTTATGCAAGATAAAATCTTTCCTGTGTGAAGTTAACATGCAGTCAGAAGGCAGAGTTTGTAGGCTTGGCTAACTGGAACAAAGAGAGGGGAAGTAATAATAGCTCTCATTATGTTTTTAGAGGGTTAATCACCAGAAAACAGTGTCACACTATTGCACCATAAGCTTGTAAGGAAGCAGGATTTGGCCACAGCAAGTATGAATTTGGTCCCACATTTCTATTGGCTCAAGGATTCTTAATTTGGGAACAACACACAACAGGGTGTGATGCGATCTTTTGGAAGTACTCACAATTTGAAACATCCAATTCAAAAACAACAGAAGCACTTATTAGTTCCTGTGCCAAACAAGGAGATAGGATGATTTGACACATCACAGAATAAATTCAGACGGCAAGTAGTCTAACATTAGCTAGCTTGTCCATAATCTTTAATGCAGAATGACTAGTAGTAATTAATAAAGTAAAAAGTTTAAGTTCTTTGTACACATCTTGACTACCCAAAGTCAAGGAATTGAAGTACCTTGGTTATTTTTTGACACTCACTTTCATTTAGAGTATCAGAAAATAGTGCAAAAATAGATAATGCGTAATATTTTTAAATGTTTTGAAACTAGTATGTATCTAGAATGCAAACTGAAATTATTGGAACATACATAATGTTACGTATTATATAGAATATAATGTCATAATACAGTATACAATACCATATTAATATATTAATTTTATTAATGTACTAATCAAATCAATGTATTATGAATACCTTTAATACATACTTAGAAAATTTTTATAGACATGGCGTGCGTCTCGTTTTCTGCTTTGATAGATGATCTCATTCTGATAAGATTTCCAAAACATGTAGTACAAGCTATGATCCACACAAATACTCTCAGAACATTGTTAGCTAAGAGGTCTTCAAATGATGAAATCCCATCTGTTAATGATGTGCATAGTCACACGTGGAGTCCTTAGAATAAATAAGTGAAACTATTTGAAGTAGCTGAAAGTAAAGAAATGAACAAGTAATGCTGCTGATTAAACACAAGCCAATGTCACAGTTATGTACCAGTTATACAGTTAGGTGCAAGGAACTGGAAGAGAATAAATTTTGACAAAATAATTCCTAGTGCATATAAGGGGCATGCTGTAAGAGGTATTACATCAAAGGAGGATTTACTTAGGAGGTTGGTAACAGCTCATATACTTTTGGTCCCCAGTAACATGCTGGTGGTAGTGGCCACAATGACCTGTGATTTTCTTTAGGTTGCTATAGTATGCAATTAGGCCATTGCTCTTTGTTCATGTACGACTGGAGAGGAATGGTCAGAGCTGGTATATTTTTTGTTTTCACAAACCTTTTAAGAACTTTGCTTTGCTACTCTTAGTTTGTTGTCAGTGTGCAGGTGGATGTTCTTCATGCTAAGGTGCTCCAAAAGCAGATCTTTTACTGTCCTTGGCAGAAGGATTTTGCCTGCCTTAACAGATTGTGGAATGTCTGTGGCATGACTTACATTTGGTAGTGAACATTAACACATCTTAAATGTTTCAATTCCTTGACCATTATTCAAATAAATAGTTCTCTGCTTCAGTGGCAGTGCACTCATGAAGAAGGCTTGTGGGACAGGACATAAAGGCTCTACCTCAGTAAAGCCTGCTAGAGCAGGGTTGTTTTGAAATGTATCCTTACATCCCATTGACGTCTGCAAGATTTAAAAATATGTTCTGGTATATATAAAAAATAAAACATGAAGGATAGATCTGCAAATAAAATTCTGATGTGATATAATTCTAGCTGTGAAATATATGATATATCAAATTTTGCATGTTGATGTGGTCCTATTGATTGTATCCACCATCTGCTGGTGAGTTAAGTGGACAGGAGCTGATCTGAGTTTTATTTTTCAAGAAGTAGTAAAGAGTAGAGGAAAGGGTATAATACAAGCTCTTTAGAAATAAAGTCAGAAAGAACATTGCTCGGTTGAAGAAGATGCTTACATTCATGGCATAGAATAAGCAAATGTAAAGATTTGGGAGCGATTCTAGACTGAGAGACCAAAACCAGAAGGAAAAAATAAGCCTGAAGATTTCTCATCAAGAATGGCATTTTAATTATTTAGAGAGGCAAGAGATATTTGAGTATATATCCTGGCTGGCATTAAGTGTGGATGTGTGGCACTCCTAAAGCCCTTTGCCTCAGCTCAGGGATTGTAGTTCAGAGGCACCTGGTGCTACTGGCATCTAGCTGTCACATACTGTGAAGGAAAAAGGCATGCCTTGTGACAGCAAATCAAGATGTCTATACAGCACATATTCTATCTTCTCTATGAACATATATGGCTTTTATTCATGACCAAAATATAATCACTTTCCTGTTTCTTAACTCACTTCCCAATTTTGGTGCACATGAATGAGGTATTCTACTTGTGCCTGCTAAGCTTAAGGCTACAGTAACTCCCAAGTAAGCAAACAGTTTTATTTATTCTGCTTCAGCCAGAAAAAGAAGTATGAAGGGCAGAAAAACAAGTGATGTGGTATGATCTAGAAATGAGGGAACAAAATGAGGAGCCTGTTTCCTTTACCTGTTTAAAATAGTGAAAGATTTAATCTTTTTTTTTTCAGAAATTGGGCTACCAGTGCAATTCATATGGAAAAGCAACGCCCTGGGATGGTTTTGGACATTTTTATATGGACCTCCCACCCCCTTAATTATCCCTTATTTATTTTGCATACATACTTGTGGGAGAGGTTCCTCATATGTTGAAACATTCCTCCATTTATATTTAGAATCTCAATCATTTCCAGGTACCTGTAAAATATGTAAAAGTTATGATCTGTAAATAAATTGAATGAAATACGGCTTTCAGTAGTTATCAAATTTTGAATAAAACAAACAAGCCTTTTCTTAAATCATAGGTCTTAAAGAAACTACGTTATGGAAAAATCCTGACTATATTCAGTAGGAATGATCCTACGACTGTTCATCACATCGAGCTTTTTACTGGAAGATTTTATCGCGAGGATGCACATTTAGCCTGAACTCCCTTTGTAGTTATGCCATTCAACAACCAATGCAATATCCATTAAGGGAAGCACAAGAAGTGGCTTGCACAGGTTTTTGTCACTTTCCCTGCCTGCTAAGCTCAGCTGCTCACAGCAGTGTGATTTAAAATCTTATTATTATAAACCTTGGCCAGAGGGCCTTCTGACTAACAAAGAAGTCACAGAACTGAAAGCACTAATAAGCCCAGAACAGGCAGACATAAAAGACAGCTTCTGCTATGAGAATCAGAAGAAGGGAGGGAGAAATAAGACAAGAAGGCAAAATGTATAATTGTCCCAGCTTTTCCTTGGGGAAGCGAGAATTCCCTTCCATTGTTCAAGGTAAGATTGACCTGCAAGCTTTTGATGACAAATCTAAAGTACTGGGAGAAAGCTGTGGGCCTGCTGAGGAAAGACAAGGACACTGAAGATCTTCTGGGTTTAAATTACTGGAAGCAGCTCCTGTAGACAGTACAGACAGACCTCCCTTTGGAAGGACAGACAAACATACAGTCTAGTATGCTGAGGGAAGCTGAATATTTTGTCACGTTTCTGGATTTTGCACAAACCATAGGTACTAGCTGCCCAGCAGCAGAAGGTGCAGCAGTGAATGATTCAGTAACAGTCTGTTCAACTAGAAATACAAGTCACTGAAGAGTGGGTGTTTGCAGGTGAGGGCCTGGGCCTTCCTCCATGAGCCACCCAAAGCACTAAGATGAATTATATTTTTTTATTTTATTTTTAAATTTTGTAGATTCAGGCATCTGGGTTGGGTTTTGTTTCACCTGACATTAGACCTCGTCACTGGAGCTGTTTCCTTTAGAGTCAGTGGACAGAAGCATGTTAGACATAGCTAGTTTAAATTACTTGTCCGCAAGGTTTCTTTTTGTCTGCTGACTGTAGAGGGAGCCTCACAGAGAAGAAATCTTTAGCAAAATAGACTAAAGTATATCAGAAAATTTAACATTACAAAATATTAGTTTGAATAACCAGGCCACATAAAACATTCAGCTTATATCTGCATTGGTTAAATGAAGAGGGCCAAGATGCGGGCATAAGCAGCTATCCATACTGCCTCATCGTTTTGTCCCTTGTGAGCTAGTTAGGCCAGATGGTTATATTTACTAGCATAAATGGAGCCTAGGGACCAAAGGCACTTACTAGGACTACTCACTTACATGACATGCATGTGATGAGACAGAGGGATGATTACTGTGCAGGTACATTCCTCCCTCCCACCCCAAGAGTGACAGAAGAGCACAGAACCGAAGGAGAAGGACATAGTTAAGGGCAGATGTGGTGTGTTTGCAGCAGATGTAGACTGCCTTACACAAGGCAAGAGAGATGCAGAGCATTGAAAAGTGTTCGTATGGAGTGCCATGAGGCAACCTGCTTTGCCCATGTAGCTTGCTGAGAAAAAAGCATAAGGTGTAGAGGTATGAAGCAGGCAACCAGGGACTGGGGACACCTGTAAGCAGAAAAGTTATACAATGTTTTGACTTCTGTTCTGCTGTAATACAAACAAGAACAGGACAAAAATGGGTGTATGTAACTATCCAAACAGAGGAAATGCCAATAACAATTAAAATGAACCCTGAAAACAAAATAATGGAGAAATATAGCCCTTCCCCTGTCTGTGACATGGCATGATTCAATAGAACTTGCTGGGTGAGCAGGACATACACTCCATACATCAGGGAAATGTGATATTAAATATCAGTAAAAGGAAGAGGTTTGTATAATGTCACATGAATGCAAGCAAAACCCGTGCTGGCACTGAGGGCCTTAAAAGCATTCAACTTGATAAAAACCCTAATGGTGATAGAGCCATGAAAGGACACTTTGTGTAGTGAATATATTCAGTAAGCATTTCCTGAAGTGTCTGAAAGCAAAGCTTCATTCTGCAGCATCCCAATAGACCTTCAGTCTACAAATTCAGTGGCAAGAGTGCATGTGTTGGAAGATTAGCAAACCCAGTAAGGCCAGAAACAGGGACAGAACTTCATTATTTTGCACATTTGGCTATAATGGAAAAAGAAAAGAAGCCACGGGAATAGGTTTTTGATTAGCTGTGATCCAAAAAGGAGGAGAAACTCCTGGCATAACCAAAGCCAACTGTAGCCACCTGACTGAGGCAAAAATGCTAACAGAAACCCGCGATATTGAGTGAGTCCATTGCAGTAGGCAACTCAGTGCAGGTACTGGCATACTTGGACCGCAGTGTATCATTTTCACCTCTCCTGTTGGGCAATAGCATTTCAAGGGATTTGACAAATTATCTCACAGGTGATATTTTAGGGAAAGGTGTGTGAAATGTTAGAAGAGTGAGAGGAACTGAAATCTGTCAATGGTGCTCTAGTAACATGAAAACCAAAACCTGTTCTATTCATATGATGCAGCTGGCATAACCTGAAACTGGTTCATAGAATGGCAAAGCAGAGTATAGATGATATATTTTGATCATGATTTAGAAAAGGAAAACATCACAATTGAACCAAAAAGAAAAATAACAAAATTACCAAGCCACGCTATCTGCTTAGATAAAAGGCACTTGGGTTGTCATATCCCTTTGAAATGACTGTGATGAAAGGAGAAAAATAACTTATATCTGTAAGAAACTGCATCCAAGGATTCCAAATAAGGTTTAGAAAGAACATCTTCGTCTGGTAAAATGGGAAAGGAAAGCCTGAATTTGAAAGCCCTGATAGAAGAGATGAGTGATGACTTCTGCATTTGTGACAAGGACCAGAAACGAACTTCCGGGAACCTCTGACTTGCAGCCCAGAAAGCCAACCGTATCCTGGGCTGCATCAAAAGCAGCGTGGCCAGCAGGTCGAGGGAGGTGATTCTGCCCCTCTGCTCTGCTCTGGTGAGATCTCACCTGCAGTACTGCGTCCAGCTCTGGGGCCCTCAGCATAAGAAGGACATGGACCTGCTGGAGCGAGTCCAGAGGAGGGCCACAAAAATGATCCGAGGGATGGAACACCTCTCCTATAAGGCCAGGCTGAGAGAGTTGGGGTTGTTCAGCCTGGAGAAGAGAATGCTCCAGGGAGACCTTATTGCGACCTTCCAGTACTTAAAGGGGGCCTACAGGAAAGATGGGGAGAATCTTTTTAGCAAGGCCTGTTGTGACAGAACAAGGAATAATGGATTTAAACTAAAGAAGAATAGATTTAGACTAAGCATAAGAAAGAAATTTTTTACAATGAGGGTGGTGAAGCACTGGAACAGGTTTCCCAGAGAGGTAGTGGAGGCCCCATCCCCGGCAACATTCAAGGTCGGGTTGAACGGGGCTCTGAGCACCCTGATCTGGTTAAAGCTGTCCCTGCTCATTGCAGGGGGGTTGGGCTAGATGATCTCTAAAGGTCCCTTCCAACCCAAAGCATTCTATGATTCTGTGATTCTGACAGATGTGACGATGTGTGTGTGGCATCCATCCAGGCCTTATGACCAACACAAACAGTGTTATCACTATGGCTGTATCAATAAGACCGTGAGAGTGCTCATGTCCATTATAGGAAAAGATTAAATCCCAAGTTGTAAACCCCAGAGCTTTGGTCCGAGGGCAGACATGCCTTTGGTACCTAATCTGGGATCAGGGATTCCTGTATTTCCAAAGAACCTAGTATGTGTTCCTGTCTCAGTTATTCCCAGCTCACTGAAGAGACCTTGTGAAATTATCCCTCTTGTCACTGCGGTTAGAGAACCTGATGTATTGTCTGTTTCGCTTCTGGGAAAACACAGGGTAGATTCTTTTTGACAAGAATTTCAAATTTTATTTGAGGATTTGATTTGGCTCTTGTCTGGGCCCAAGCCAAGTGGCATTTTTTTCCACAAGATTTTAAACTTCAAAATCTCTTTTTTGGATTATATACTGTATATATATTGTATCTCTCTCTCTCTCTCATATTTTGGATTATACACCCATGAAATAAAACGCCTGTCATCCTGCCAGCAAGGCTTCTGGAAAAATGATTAGTGAGATCACTTTGTTCTGGTTAATTCTAGCCCAGTTCAATTTCAGGGTGGGGGGTGTGCGTGTGACATTATGTCTGTCTCACATTCTTTGTTCCTGTACTACATGTTCTGAGTTGGAAATGTAGATCAGACAATCATTTTGACAGGCAGGCAGGTGGTACTATTACATTGGCAGTACCATATCTATCACGGTTAATGTGCTCTCAGATTGAAATAACTACACTTTTCCTCGCTGGTCAAGGTTTATATAGCAGCAGAACACATCTCCATCCATATTTCAAAACAATGTCCTGTCTTGCAATTACTGTCTTGTCCATGTGGTGGCTTATGGACTAGAATATTGATATTTGCTGCATTTAATTCTGTGCATAATAATGAAACAAAGGGCTGTAATGCACTTCAAAAAGAATCTAAAAGGAAGTTATTCTGGCACAGCTGCCACATAGTTGACTCAGTTATCTGTCAAAAAAACATTTGAGGTGCCCTGGAGATGCCCATTTGAGATGCTCATGTAGAGCTAGCTGGTAAGACATACAAGACCTACAAGAGACCTGTGGCCTTCTGGATTAGCAGGTGATGGCCAGATAGGATAGATACCCAAGGGCATCTCCAGCAGCATCAGGCTCCTATCTGTGGGCAACTTAATAAGCCAGGGTGAACACAGTCACTGGGATCTGGAGAATGGATCATCTCAACCTAGACTAGCTTTTGGTTTGCTGAATGGCTCTCCAGACTAATACTCCATCTAGTGTTATTTGGCATGTCCTGTGGTATCTGAGACATCTGTGTGGGCAGGCAGACATGACACAGGACTCATGAGAGTTCAAAGACTTTCTGGAGTGGGGATGCTGTAGGGGTGTCAGATAACAATAGATATCTCACCTGTGAGCAACTGAACCAACCTCCTAAATTCTGCTCTTACTGTAATGACTTAAGACACATTGCTCACCTTGGTTACCCTTGGACAGTTAAGATATAGGGGTCTACAAAACAGAACTGAATATTACCCTGTGTGTTGACTTACAGTATTCACTGTGTGGCACAGGAGAAAAATATCAAACAGTGAGTTGCAGGAAAGCTGTTCAGATTAATCATTCAGATTAATTCAGGAAGTTTTCCTTTTGCTTAGGAAAAAAATAGCATGAATTTAAAAATAACATTTGGTTCTTCTTTTGGACAGCTTTTTAAGAAAAAGCCATATGGCACATAATGACAATTTAAAAAAAGGAATTATAGTCTTGCTTTTCAACTCTGAATCAAATGAAATTGTAAAGTGTACTTTCAGATGAGGGTGAATCTTTGCAAATTAAAGAAGAAATAAGAAACTTCTGAATTTGAGCTTTGTGTAAAATACTTAATTAAAAAATATGCAGCTGAATGATCTGCCCTGTGGAGTGAGTAATTTATCAACCAACCCAAAGCAGAGTTTATAGAAGTTCTAAAATACTTGTTACTGTTTATTTATGTCCTTATCTGTCCAGGTGCCCTAGCTGTGCTTGTTGTGCAATTTGTTCTTAATTTATGTGTTTTGATTGCTTCTAGGCTTAAAATTTGTGAATAGCAGTAAAACTGAGCAAACTGTATAGCTGTCATTAGTGTATTTTGGCCTGCTACCTTAGGGCATTGAGCACTCCTGTAGGAATAGAAATTTGAAGTACACTCAGCATCTGATAGAATGGCAATTAATATTTCACATGCCTTTTGTAATTGATGAATATTTCTCCTGGAAAGAAAGGATATTATTTAGTTTACTATGTTAGTAAAATATTTCAGCTTTTACTTACAGTGACTGAAGCTGCTGAAGACTTTCAAAGCAATCAGAGAGGTAAGAAAGTGGATTGAAAGACAGATTGCTAAAAGAAAGAAAAACTGTTCCTTATTTTATTTCAGGAAAAAGACAAGCTAAATTATTACATTTTTTAATTCAGCTGGGAATTCTCATTTATAACTTCTAGCTTTTGTAAATACTTCATGTCTATAAAAATATAACATTGCAATTTTGTAATCATGTTGCTGGACTGATCCCTTGGAGAAATAGAGAACAAAATCAATCAGGTTCATCCTTAGTATTCCACCCATCCCTTTCAATACAAACTTTAAGAACTCTAAGACTCAGATTTTCTCCTTGTTATAAGTGAGGAGGCATGCTACCTTACTTAAAATTTTAATAGCAGCAAAATTATCTGTTATCATTACTTCAATTCATCCAATACTTCCTTGCTCTGATTTTATCCGTAAGTCACTTTGAAGCCAGTCGGTACAGGCACTGATGTTTGGCGATTGCTAAACATGGATCATTTTAGCTATGATTCATCATAACTAATTCAGCTGAGGTATCTAATTTGGAAACCTGGTTGCCTGAGGGTCTCTCTATAATTTATGAACTTAATCATTGCTGAGAGGTGAGATGAATCAAAGCCTAATTACATAGATGTGAAGCTTTCACATTTAATATAGGTAGAACATAGAAAACAAAGAAAAAAAGAGATTAAAAAAATTCCCACAGTAAATTCAGTTCTGAAGATCGGTGTTAGTGAATGAGTTTTCACTACGCCAGCAAATCAGTCTTTAACAAATAACATCATTTGCTACTCTCCTTCCACAAACAGTAACAGCCTGTTTCAATCCCTCATGTCACTCCAGTCACTGACAGCTCCCCTTCTCCTTCAAGCTTTCTCTTCTCTTCTCCGCTTCTGCACCTTCTGCAGCTGTTTTCTCTTTCTGCCTAAACATGTCATGCCAGATAATGAGGCAACCAAATCCCAGATGCAGTGTGACTACTTTATATGCAGATGAGCCTAATGCATACGCGCTTATCCCCAGGGGAAGTGGCAGTCTCAGATCATAAAGTAGGTGCCTCAGTTCCCCAGACAGCTACTGGGAGAGACTGGTTCACCTCCAAAGCACAGAGACGCTGATGCTGCCCTAGCTATCTTTCTATAGACTGTACAGGGAATATAGATACCCTCAGTGTGTGAGCCAAAGCAACTGAAAAATGTAGTATTGGCTCCAGAGGACCCAGCTGAAGCTGAGCACTCATATGCCCAGAAGGGAGGGAGCCCAATGGTCACTGGGGCAGAGAGAGACCTTGATTTTCAGCCCATACAGCTACCTCTGTTGTAAAACCTGGGAAGTCTTGGAATAAGTTTCCCCCCTCCCCCCAAGCACTACCTGCATCTCCCTCTTGCCGGGTACCTTTCTGTCCTTCTGCCTTTGATTCCGCATGGCCTCCTGCCTCGCCTTGGGCTGGAAAAGTGCAATACATTCACAGATTACAGCCATGTAATAGCTCGCACTCTGTAATTTAAAAATAGATTTTAGGAAGCTTGCAATTCCCCCAATTCTTTTAATGAGGAAAAGGTATTTGCAGGCAGAAAGCAAATTCAATTTCCATGAAGAAACCTGTAAAGTAAAATATAGATTAGAATAAGTACTTTATGATTCAATTGAATATGGGGTGCTAATTTCATGTTTCAGTATGACTACTTGGCTTTTTATTTTTCTAGTGTGTTAGAAGTTACGCAGGACCCTGGTTAATTTTTCCAAGCCGTAACAAGGTGTGTTACTGTAGTCAGTGCAAAAGAAATCTACCCAAGACTAAGCAGTTAAGTAAAACTTCCCTTAGTTTTAATTACAAGCAAGCAATTTACAAAGTAAAAGAGCAACGTGGAATTTTATTTGATTAAAGGCTCTGGGATTTGCTATCCAGACAGAAATTTTACATGTTCAAATTCAGGTTTTTTTTGCTTTTGCTCTTACTGTGATTGATACAGTCCCACTGCAGGGAATTCCTGTTCCTCGCTGGTAAGACACCACATGTATAATATAAGGAGTGGTTTGTATTTCTTAACCTGCAGTATTTTTTCTTCATGAACATGATCCTCCTTCAGATTCTGCGTTTCCTGTCCTCTGTATTATATGAGTTATAGCTGAATATAAAAAGTTAGAAATGTAAGTTATTACTGTATACCAATACATTTAATTTTAGCAGCAACACATTTTTGTTCAGGTTCCCTGCAAGGGGAAGCCCCAGTCTGAAGGAGGAATGGATTCAACAAGAAAAAATATCCACAGGTTGAGATACAGGCATGCTGTATTGTTTCTGCTTTGTGATCAGATTGCAAGTCCCAGGATTTAGTGGAATTTAAAAAGCACCTGGTGCTCATGATCTGATCACAAGGCAAGAAATAATACTGCATGCCTATTTCTTATCTTGTTTGTTGAAACAAGTGATTGTGACAATTGCCAGAGTGTGCCATGTGACTGTGCATACAATAATTTAATTAATTATAAAGAATACCTCCTTGACAAAAGCACAACTGTCCTGATGAGGTTTTATACATTGAGACAAATCCTGCATTGAGCTCTGTGAGTCACACATATTCAAAAGGTTTTTCTTGCTTTATTTTTATACTCTTTTACTTAGAATACAGTGAGCGCATCACATTCCAGGAAGGTGGGATTAGTTAAGGCCTTAATATGATTGCCTTCAAAATCCCTGAATAACAATAAGGAAAGTGGTTTTATTCATGAGTTGTGTAATAGTTTTGCAGGAGGGAGTTTAAGCTCTGGGCTAGTCGTCTTTTCTTTTTACCTTCCTTTATTTATTTCTTACAAAATTAGCCCAAATGTATTACTTAGTTTTGAATATGAATGTAACTACCAAACAAAGCAAATCATATCCTTTTCTTTGTTGTGTTTTAATCTCTATTTAAGGCCCAGCTTGACACCTATTTCAGCAATAATAGGCTAATACACTGGCATTTCTTATGTGTAATCTGTGTACCAGAATACATAGAGACCACTAGGTGGAGATTTTACAATAATTGTAACACATATCTATAGATCCTAAGTTATACTTAGGATAAACATGCATTCACAGTAACTGATTTAATTTTCATTGGGAAACTGAAGCGAAAGACAGAATTTTGCTAAGCTCCCGAGAGCCATGAGAACAAGAAGCAGCTCTAAAGATTTATGTTGGCAGAGGACTGTGGTATTTTGTAGACAGTCATTTGAAACACTGTGAGGTTCAACTTTGGCAAGGTTGTATTTTTTGTCACACCTTTAAAAGCGCCTTGGTCTAACAGAATAAACAACAGATTCTGTCTATGCAGAAAAAAATATATTAATTTATCAAATAAATTGTTTGCATAATCTACTTACATCAAGTTAATAAGAGGCATTTGAGTACAGATCTTGGGAAGAGACTCAAGTGAATTGTTTATCATTGATGTTCATAAATTAAAACATGGTTAGAAAGCAAGATGTTTTATCATACTTCTAACAATATGTAAGTGTAAGAAAGACATGCAAATGTAAACTTTTGAGAGAAGAATCCAAGATTAGATTGCGTTACATTGCTTTGGAATTTAAGATAACTTTAGATTTTACAGAAACTACACAAGAAAAAAGATTTTTAAAGCTACCAGTAGCAAAACATAGCACAAACAGTTATTTTTTGATACTCGCTTATTAATTTATTTTATTTATAAGCAATGGATACATTGAATGACTGAGAAATATGCTAAATTGAACAATTCAGGAAAAAAAAAGGTGTTCATTAAATCATTTGCATTCTCAGTATGCGTAATGTACATTTTCCACACATGCTATGCCCTTCCTCAAACCCTTTCCCGAGGGAGATGGTATTTCAGCTCCTGCCCCATCCATTGCTTCAGTGCTCACTCTGTGGAGCCAGGTCCAAAGGCTGCTGGTGCCAGCTCTGATGCCAGCAGCTGCCCACCACAAGCTTGGCTGAGACAGTTGAGTCAAGGGACCGTTGAAGACACAAAGCTTTTCATCTTCTTTGTCCTGAGCCAAGGGACTAGTAGCAGTTGGCGATAGGATGAGAGGAAATGGGCTCAAGCTGCGCCAGGGGAGGTTTAGGTTGGAAATTAGGAAAAATTTCTTTACAGAAAGGGTGGTCAAGCATTGGAACAGGCTGCCCAGGGAGGTGGTGGAGTCACCATCCCTGGAAGTGTTCAAAAAACGGGTAGATGTGGCACTTGGGGACATGGTTTAGTCTAGTCTGCCCTTGATTGGCTTAGAGTAGACTTGGTAGTGTAGGTTAATGGTTGGACTGGATGATCTTAAAGGTCTTTTCCAACCTAAACGATTCTATGATTCTATGATTCTATAAAAATCTTCTGCTAGCAAAACCAAGTAATTTATTTCCCTGGATACTATTAAGAACAGCTGCTAGCTTTTCTAAGAAACCAAGGTTATACTTTTCAGTTGCTGGTTTACTTGATGAAGGTGATGGAAAAAAAGCTTATAGGACCTCACGTCTCATTCCCTCTTACTGTAAGTTCTGCCTTATATGGAATTTTCTGTTATAGTCCTCACAGTGTATCTGCCTGGGAAATTGTTCAAGCACATGAATACTGTTCCACTTCTCTAAAAGGAGCTGCTAGGTGTCTGCTGGTTGTATCCAAGAATTTCCAGTTTAGATCATGAGTTTCCTGTAGGCGTTCTGAGAAGACAGATACGATTCTAAACAGGTTTACAACTTCAGGAATGTGCTTGAGTTTTAAGAGAAACATAGTAAAGATAGTCATAGCATGGAAGATGCCTATGAGAAATCCAGATCCAAATTTGGATCCAGACGTGGTAAGTATGGGGAGTTGATAAGCATGATTCCTTCATGAAGAAGATGTTTGAAAGTCTTAAAGAAAGAAAAAAACTTTGAGGAAAAAACAAAAATATAGAGAGGAAAGCCACTTGGATATTGAACAGTACCAATAAGAAAATTTGCAAGAGCAATACTTACCGAAAAATTGAAGACTTTAGCCCAGTAAATAACTGCTGTGTATTTTCACTATTGGGTTATAATCTAGAATTCTGGAAAGAAACAATAGTTTACTACATCACCAATCCTTGTAAAGAAACAATGAAAAAACAGCTGAGATGAGCAAATCATGGGGGAGCTTTTCCTCTGCAAATCCAAATAACTGGACCTAGTTATTATCTCCAGAAATTGAAACATAATCTGTGTGATAAGGAGTTGAAAGCTGCAATAGTTGTTGCAATTTTTTTTTTTGGTGCAGAATGTCATTTGCAGATGTGGCTTTACTGCCTTGTCCCTTTCTTTTTAGATCAATGCCATAAACATATGCACTGCCAGTGCTGAATGGTGCTTTTACAGACAGGGAGAAAATGGGTATTCACAGCCATTTCAATTTGTCTAGATCTCTGAGTACCCCAGGTTTCAAAGTAGTGATACATTTATGACTGAGATACCTGTTGACAAAAACATGTAACACAGAAACTAAAATAACACTATCCAAAAACTGATAGACTGCTTCTAAAGGAAGGAAGCAGAAACCTTTCAGACAGCTGATGAGAACAACCAGAAGGATAAAGAACTGTGACAAGTGATGTTTGATTTTAAAATGCCAACTGAAAGTATTTTAATGTTTCTATCTCCTAAAAAGTTGTTTGTTGTTGCAAGGGCAGTAGCATTTGACTTAATCTTTTTAAATATTTTATAGTTGGAATGATGCTGGGTAAAGCATTAAAAATGTGCTTTTATGAATAGTTTTGCACTGTGCTGGGATGGATCTGTTTTGCTATGATGCAATGGCCAGCTTCGCCTAGGTGTTATACATATGCTTTTTAGACCAAGGTAGACATAGTAAAAATGCTTTGCATTTATATACAGTAAGCTATCAAAATGTCAATACCTGTAGCTTGTTATTCAAAACTTGATAAGGAACCGGAAAGATTAGCCTGATTTTCAAAGGCACTGAGCTTGTATGAGCAGTTGGAAGTGGTAGGGATAGCCGGGTACCTAATAATGCTGTAAATACTGATGTTTGAAAAATTTGGCCAATATGGTTTTCGAACATCAACTAGTGAGGTAGTGTCAGGTACACATAGTAAATGAAGTTTATAATGGGTTGATAATGGCACAAAAAGAAATTCAGTGATTTGTCTTTGCCCCAGTGTGCAATCAGAGTCACAGCAAGAGTTAAAATTCAGGAAGTTCTCACATCTTTCTCAAGCTACTGGAATATGTGGAATAATGGTTGGATGAGACTTCGAAGGGCTGAAGTTTAGATGCCCATTCCTGTACTGTGGAAGGCTGGTTGCTTTGTGATACCCAAAAGGCAATCAGTTATTTAAAAAGGTAAAATAGGGCAATAATGTACTCACAGTTTCTGAAGTTTGCGTAGTCCAGAGAATGCTTTCCTTGATATTGTCTGAATGCAATTGTGTTGTGGAAATCCAGTACAGGTAAGGTAAGAAAGCTAGGATAATCATAATTCCTTAACTTCATAGAAATGCAAATGTTTCATAATCCCATATTTATCCCCTTCTGTCATTTTAAGCACACTGCTAAATGAATGCCTGGTGTAACATCACTGAAGTCAGATTCAATATTTTCCACCAGAACAGAACTTTCTAATGACTTCTTTGAGGCTGTTTTGTATGTGTCTGTCTCCAGGGTGTGTCATGTTCCATTTCTTGTTCATGCTTTTGGAATAGAAGATCATAAGATATAAAAACTAAGATACAAAATAGAAAGCACTAGAGGCTGAGGAGAAAAGCCAGTACTGTTCCAGACTATAGGTATATTATTTTGAATTTTATTAAATGTGAACCACCACTAGCCATCCTTCTTGGCACACTTATGCTAACATATATTGCACCTACTGATGCGACTCAGCTGAAAATTAGTGGCATGTATATTTTGTTTATAAAAAATTGTTTCTAGCACTCTGCCCACTCTTCAAATTATACAGTCCTTTCACGTGACTGTTGTTCTTGAAGGCTGCTGACTGCTTTTGGATGGAAGGCGGTTTGAGCTCTCATTAGGAACTGTCGAATGAAAGGCATACGCCATCCACTCAGAAGCAAGAGCTAAACTCAAATACTGTGTCCTTAGGGGGTTTATGAGGATTTATCTTAAGTCTGGCATATGAATTCTTACCCTTGGAGCTGTCCCTGTTTTCTTATGTAGACTTCATACATGCTGGCTTTGTACGTATGCCTTAATCCTGTAAGAATTTGTCTGAGGTATAGGGCTGATTGATTTTTTTGTTATGAACAACAGCCACATTACAACATTACAACATTACAACAGCTATATACAACAGTCATTCTACCTGACAGTGTAATATATATGAATGCCTTCCTTCTTCATAACTCAACGAAGGTCAGACTAGTTCCTACAGGAACTCGGAGGAAGCTCTATTGAAAGCTCTCCAAGTCAAATTCCAATAAGAAGGCCATCCTACTATATAAAGAACATAGAAGACACCACCCAACTTGAAAAAAAAAAATGTACTAGTGGTATGTGAGAGGGTTGACTACACAGGAGAACTTGTCATGTATACAGCTACTTGCATAATTTTGCAATTGGTTTCCATGGTAGCTTAGCATCAAAAAAGAAAGAAAAAGGGGGAAAAATTAAAAAGATGCTTTATTTAACCTTTTAAAACAGTAAGCTGCAGTTTCATGACAAAATGATGGTATTTCCTATTAGGCAGACTTATTTTCTGCTTACTTATTTTTCTGTGGCAGGTAGCAAGACTAGACCTTTGTGTATTGCATACAAAACTGCCTGCATCTGTGCACATCTGGCTACACTGGAAGACCAGCATGATCAAAACATGAGTTTCAAAGGCAAATGCCATGCTGTACTGTTAAAAAAGTGATCACACAAGTGGCTGTATGTTGATTTTGTTCATTCTATACACTTCAGGACTCATGTAATAATTTAATAAACTGTCAAGATACTCACATTTTCTTTACCTTTGTACACTTGCTGAAAATGTCATCTGGAAGAGAATGGATCTGGTTGTGTGAGTGACCTAGAAGTAATTCATAACTGATGTTTAAATTAGATCTTAACAGGTCAGTGTTGCAACTGCCAAAAATCATACCTTACATCTGGGTGCAGCTGACACAGGGTCAGAGCCCGGAAAGGACTTTGGGCACATTCCATTACGTTACACTGGGTGCAGTATGTTGGGTACATTACCTTGCCTGTGAAGCCTGGGTAACCTCAGCTTCCTTGTCACCTGTCCTTATTGTTTAAATCCTGAGCTGAAGCTTGAGTGCCCTCCTGGGATTAGCTGGGAGGAGACAGGCCTCCCTTTGGTCTGTTTAGAAAGTAAATGTACTTGGCTGCTTGAACAAGCTAGCTGAAGGCCAGCAAACTCATTGCTGAGTTTTAAGACTGGCCTTTTAAAAATATTTTCCTTTGGTAATCCAGAAAAATGTTTGAGAATTTCTCATATTAAAAAGTATTCAGCCACATATAAATTTTGACAACCTGTAGGACTGGAGCTGGCAAAATTAAATAGGGAGCTGTCAGTCATCATTAAGAACCAATAATCCTGAAATTCCTGCTTTGGTAACTTCAGCAATATTTGGTGGGTGCTCATTACCCCAATGCTGGCTGCACAGCCAGTGATCTTTAGTGAGTGGCCTGGGGTTGACAGGCTTTAAGCAAAAGGAATGATGAACCCAAATAGCATTCAACTCACCTACTTGTAAACATCTACAGTGCAAAATGCACATCTCAGCTAACACCCCAAGCTCTCTTTAAAGGAGAGAAGTAAACATGTTCTGTGTGCAGTTCATATGACCTGTATTAGATGACTGGTTTACAGGGTTGACACATATAGTTTGTCAGACGAATTCCACACTGAAGTGGGCCTCGCAGCAAAATGCTCACAGTGTTCACTACATATTAGTAAATCACCTAGTAAATACCTATAGTGGGTCAACCTTTTCTGCAGTCTCTGAATGCAGGGGGCCCGTACTTGGTAGTCTAACACTATGCAAAGTGTATTTAGGCATCTCTTTGTAAAGCAGCTTTATGCTGGAGAGCAAAGGGAACTACTTACAGGAGGGTTACATTACTTGAAACAAGTGGAACAGACTTCAAATTAACAGCAACACATTCTAGTTCTGTTTCCATGCAGCTGCAACCTTCTGGGTATTGGTGGAGACCTAGGAAAAAGAATTTTTGAATGAATGTCTTACCTATGACCCACCAAGTACATCTGATCAGATGGAGTGCCATTCTGAGACCTCTTTTTAGAAAGGGATTAGACATCTACATGCAGCACCCCCAAATTACCTTAGTAAGGCTAAGGCTATAAAACAGGAAGGCTATATGTATATATAAGGCTATATCAGGAAGGCTATAAACCACTGATGCTGCACTTCCTAGGATTGCAGTGCTTTACATGTAATGAAAGCAAACGTAAGTAAAACATCAATCAAGTTTAACATCCTACTGTCCATAAGCTACAATAAGGGTAACTGAAACACAACATGCACTTGATGTACCTATAAATTTATATATACATACAAATGAGAACATCTGAGAAACTGCTGATGGAGCAGTTTCCACTAGAGAATGCAGACTTGTTTAAGTCACTATACTTCACTGAGAAATTGTATGCTTTGATTTTAGTGCAGACCAGAGGGAACACAGCATCTAAACTTGCCTCTTCCTTGCCAAGACACTGTCCTTGCGTTCTGGGATTTAAGGGAAGGGCTTTTTGGGTACCCCAGCTTGGCAGTCCATCTGAAGAGCTGTCCCAGAGCTGTAATACTTTGACTGAGCTTTTGGGTTTATGACTCTTCATCAGTAGACAGGAAGAAATATTTCAGAAAGGATCAACATAAGACATTTCAAGATTTTAACAAGTTGGTTGTTTTTTTTTTTTAATGTTTCATAGAGAAGCTTTTCTTTTTTCTTTTGTTCCTGAGTGGGATGAAAACAAATACTGACTTTCCAGAAGTTTCCAGGAATGTAATTGCCATTTTCCTGCAACTTTATAAAGCTGCAACCTGCCACTAACAGGTAAATTCCACACTGCATTACTCTGCTCTGCTGTGGTATGCATGCAAAAAGCTCTGGGAAAGTAAAGGTGTTCCCTGAGCACATCTAAAATGCCAGATATCTCTATAATTATAGTAAATATATGTATGCAGTGAAAAGCCTTAGAAATGTAAAATATTTTAAGGATATTAATAAGGGCATTAAGATTAAGTTAGAATTCTTCTGACAAATCCAGATAATTAGGCTTTCCATGAACCGTATCAAAGATACTTGCCCATCCACTGTTATCTCCTATAAAAAGTGTTAATGTTTATCAGCTGTACTTTAAATTTTCTATCAGCTTTTAAAGAAAACCAGAACATTAATGCCAATTTGTCTGTGGGGTACATGTGTTTTCTTATATGGGATGGAACCAAAAGTAAATCTTCAAATGGATTGTTTTTATTGTCTTTTCTGCTGATTATGAGTAACATTTATAAGACCAAATTAATAAATCTCATGTAAATTGAATATCAGAAGTGTACCAGACTATAAACATGGCAGAGAGAGAGAGAGAGAAATAGAGATAGAAGTCTAATATTGATGCAAAATATTATTAGAAGATGAGTTGATAAAAAGAACTGAATGCTAAAGTATTATTAATGTAGTGGAGAAACTCATACTGCAGTACATGATATAACATGGAGCGTTACAAATTATTTACAGTGAAAATCTACAAATGATAATGGAAGTGTTCTAGAACAAGACTGAAAGTCAGAAAGTGGCTCAGTAAAAACGAGAAAGTTTACATCGGTTTCAGTAAACTAATGTTTGGTGATCTCAAATTTCAAGCAAAACCATGGAAAATGATGAGAACAGATCATTACTGGACCAGCTAAATGTATAGGCAATTATACAAGTTCTAGGAGATTTGAGAGAAAATCAGTTAAAGTTTATACAGCTTAGACTTTTTTTTTTTTTTTTTAATAGATTGGGAGAAGGTAGGAATCTCTGTTACATAGGGAGTGTATCAGTTTTTGGGGCAATCAGTACAGCAGAGTGCAGTTTGGAGCTAACGGCACTGGTACATAGGTGAATAGTAAACAGGAATGGTGCAATGTGGAAAGTCATAAACACAAATGACTACATCCAAAGATGGTAGCTGAGGGGTGATGGGAATGAAAAAGGAAAGAGGCACAGGAGGATGATTTGAAATACCTAGAAAGAAGAAAAGGAAGTGAAAGAGATGTAAGAACTTCACTAGGAGGCAGGTGGGGAGGGAGGATACAAAGCAGGAGATGACAGTAGAGTTGACACAGTATCTTCTGACCCAACATGCTTCAGAGCCACAGAAGTCACATGTGGTGTGGAGGGAATCATGCTCCAAAATAGGGATCATTTATTAGCCAAAGAAGGAGATTGGTCTCATTGATCTCACTTCCTCTTTGCTCTTCTGGATTGACAGTGGGCGTGGAGATTAATAAGACAAAGACGAATGCTAGTGTGATCACCACCAAGTGCGTAGGTGCTTATGATACACATATACCAACATATGTATAAATCTAAGACTCTTACAACACTTGAAATCATCACAGAATAAGAATACTTCACTTATACTGCTAGAAAGTCTTACTGAGCATAAGTACCCCTATCTACGTGCAGGAGTTTGTGCACCCACTTTGGAGGATTCCCCACACAGATATACAGTGATTACCCACTGTCCACAGCAGAGGATAATATAATAGGGATTCTACAGGAATCTCACCGCTGGAGTCTGCCTGGGGCGTGCTTTTAGACAACCTGTCAGTTTTCTTTGCTGACCAGCATGGTGTAATACCCCCATTCATTGAAGAAAAGAAAATATTCAATTACCTTGAAACCCCCAGACTTGTCAGGCTTGTGGATCATCTGCCGACTATTAGTGATTCAGTGTGTATTAGCTGGAGGAGCACATCCCACAAACATATTTTCTTTCTGTGTACTTACAGATGTTGCATTATTCACCACAGTTCTCTTCGTCTCCAACATTCTCACAGTCACTTATACTATCACAATGAAATGCCCACGGGAGGCACGTAGTATGATATCTGCATGGAAAATAACCCTTCTGGCAGACAACACCAACTGAAATGTCTTCCATCAGCCATGATTCTGAGAAAATATGGGAAGACATTTCCTCTATAGCAGAGTATGTTTCAAATTAGAAAGACCTGATAAAACCACAACCACAGCATGCAACAGAATATTTTCATTTTTCACTTTAAAGTGCATTGTATGTAATTTTAATTCTGCCTCTTGTGTTACAGTGTCAGCTACAAATGGCTTACCACCACTGAAATTTAGAAGAGACAGCTTAAAGTTTCTGTTTGTTTCTCTTCTCTCTTTCCCATCATCTGCAGAACACATTGCTGGTCAGAAAGAAACGTATCAATGTACTTTCCTGGTAGACTGATTCCTCAAAAGTGTGAGCATTAAGTAGCAGAACCCTGCAGCATGGCCAGGGATGGACAGGGAGGTGGTACTTGGGTGCTCCTGGCTAGGGGAAATGGAAGTCTCACGTGAAGAGAGAACTTCCAGCTGGAGCATGTGGAAAGCCATTTCCCATGCTGAAAACCACTGGGCAACAGGGAAGTGTCCACTTACACATCAGAGAGGTACAACTACTAAGAACACTTATTGGACACAATTACAGTAAAATCTTTCAGCAGTTGGCAAGTCAAATCTTGGTACGAATCTGCAAAAGTGGTCTCAGATTTATGTCTTTTGGGACTTTTTTTTTGCAATAATGCAGTTACATTTTTAGTCTTGTAAATCACTCATTTAGACAAGATGTTCAAAGCAAGAGAATAGTTTTTATGTCCTCTATTGGCACACATCGCAAATGACTGGTTTTCTGCAGAACATTTGCAGGAAATCTGCTCTATTGTTTCATTACAGGTATGGAATGTATGTCCATTTGCAAAAACACTTCTTCCTTTTCACAAAGTTTACAGGAGCTTTTATGGCCAAGATAAACTAATGAAAGAATGCTAAAACCGCAAAAAAGCAAAAAAAACAAAATAGGAAAGTTCTTTGTATCACACAGAGCTGATTCTGTTTTTACTCATTAGCAATGCCTTTGAAAAGTGAAGTTCAAATTTGACAAAGCAAATTTGATTATAATCTTAGTTGAACAGGTAGAAATGTCTATGGACCCACCTTGCAAAGACAGACATGCTGACTGTAGACATATGAGACTCCTATGGGACTATATACAAGATTAAAATAAAACATATGGGATAAAATTATAGGGAGGAATGACAGAAACAAAGTGAAGTAATCCGATTCCTATGAGGCCGATGGACAATTAGGGTCTATATAGTATCAGAAAGGATGGAAAGAGCAGAAATTCAACTAAACGGTAATCTTTAAAAACTGTGTATGTTTTAGTCTTATCTAACTAACACTGTCCTAATAATACTGGTTTTTGTATGATGCAAAGAATTGAGATTGAGACACAATGATAGGAGATGAAACATATAGTTGATTCCAAACTCAGGCTTGAGATCCAAATTCAATTAATTTTGGAAATCTCATCAAGAAATGCCTTGCCTTTTAAGTGAGATAGCTCTAACATTCTTTTGCTACAAAACTTAAAATATGGATGAAGAAGTTTAGCTTTTCTGAAGGCTTTTGTTGGGATCCACTATGTGGATAAAAATACGTAGTTTAGACTGGTTAAACTATAGATCTTTGTATATCAGTATTTTGAATAATGTTACAATTAGACTCTGATAGTTTGTTGTTTTCATCAAAGTCCCTATGGTAGTGCCAACATTTTTAGTTCAAACTCATTTTTTCATGCATCAGATATTGCACAAAGGTTGGACTGGAAAAAGCTTTCTTTCTGTATTCATTCAGGGACAGAAAAAGCATTTTTTCAAAGTATTGAAGCTGAAATATGTTCACCATGGTCTGACAGTCTCTTTTAAAGAACTGAGTGTGTCCATGACCTCTGAAGAGAAGCAAAGCTACAACAGAATGCATGTGGGGTAGCAGAGCTGAAAATGAATCCTGAGTCTCTCTTCGCTCTCAGCATTCAGTTAATTGCCCTTGCAGACAAGAAGCCAGCTATTATCCAAACAGAAAGGGCTTGCTCTCTCAGTTTTCTCTATGAGTCTCTAAATTCATTTTAACTTGT